TGTAAAGTTTGTTCGTTCACTGCAACCAGGTATATCAATCATGTTTCGCTCGCTACTCTGGTTTAAATAAATGATTACAAAGCCCAGTCGAATTGTAATCAAGACCCAACGTTTCGACACTCCAGTCTAGTGTCTTCTTCAGGGGTGATCTAAAACTGCGATCGTGGCTTCTTAAATACCCAAGGGATGACGTCACCTGCCAAGAAGATGCATATATTCTTCTGGCAAAGAGGCGCCGTCATCCCTATTCAAAGCATGATGACTCATATTTATATGCCACGCTTCTAGGCAAAGTCTTTGACCATAGTGATTGTTTGTGGTAATTACTTTAGAGTTTTCCCACGCAATCTCGTGTTTGGTGTAACATACATGTTCGGCTAAAGCTGATTTTCCCTTGTCTAAAGTTGAAACAGCCTTTTGATGTTCTTTTAGCCGTGTACCAAACTGGCGTTTAGACTGACCTAAATACTCTTTGTCGCAGTCACCGCATGGTATAGAATATATAGCATGAGTCTTCTGATTTTTTTCAACAGGATCTTTTGGCTTTGCGAAAATATGGCCTAAAGTCAAATAGGGTTTTAAGGCAACCTTAATATTATAATTACTTAAGATTCTCTTGATTGGTTCTGTGACACCTTGAATGTATGGAACTATTGCATAACCCTTAACAGAGGTATCACCCTCGGAGTTATTTTGGTTCCTACAAACAGGTGGTCTCAGGCAATCATTAAGAAAACGCTTTGGGTAATTGTTTTCCCCTAAAACATTTAGAACATATTCACGTTCATTAGCTTGAGAATCACTGTTTGACGGCAACGATTCAGCTCTTTGAAGCAACGTTTTTGCTACGGATCTTTTATGGCTTACTGGGTGATGAGAGTCGTATGACAAGTATTTGTCTGTGTGTGTGGGTTTGCGATAAACATCAGTCTCTAACTTGTAGAAACCGCAGAGATGACATCATCGACGAAACGTTTCCAAAACGATAGGGACACCGGAACAGAGGCTAAAGCTCTTTGTTCAACATCTTCCATTACTAAATTAGCAATTACTGCCGAAATAGTTTTAATTACTGCCGAAATAGAATACTCATTAGTATTCTATTTTGTGGCTAACAATCGGAGAAAAATCAGAGCCGAAACCTATACTCGCCAGGGCACAGTGCCCCAGCGAGTAATGATATCGTGTCTGTGAGTTGCCTACTATAGTGAATTAAAAAAGAATGTTGAACTAACTTCTTTACTGCTGCTCGAGATCTCCAGCTCTTTCATCTGGTAGACCTATTAAAAGGATAACAATTAATTCTTTATCATTCTCTCTGCAGGAAATACAACTTTAATCCTATATGTGTTGAAGGGAATTGAATTCTAGATGGAAAATTTGTGGGAAAGATCACATACTATTTTCAGAACTAACGAGGAGCAGTTGCAAAAATGCAACTGTAGGCCATCTATGGCAGGAATCACAGGAATCTTGAAAAGTTTGATATTTAAGTACTTAAACAATTTCATAATAATTTTCGTTCAATGCTTCTTCCCCACTATACTGCAAAAGCAAATTTCAAAATCAAATGTCCGCTCGAAGATCATTGCGCAGTGACGTACCACGCAATTACTTGTTAAGTTTTCCTTGGCGTTCCTACAGGCTACGCACAATTTTCCAACCTCGTTCCCAGGCTCTTGAACAAGGTTTGTTGTCAAGGTAAAAATTGTAAGTAAAACCTGTCAAGGAAAACTCGCTCGTCTGTACGTATAGCCTGTGCACGGACTGTATTATGCTGTAATGCTGTACGGGTCTTAATCATATATAGCCTCCTGTGCAGACGTTGGTAGTGGCCGAGGCCCCACCTAACGTCTGCTCACATTCGCTACACATTTGACTTCCCGGCAATTAACCAATCACAATCATGTACACGATAATTGGAACATCGACCTTCACTGACCTTCACTTGACCTCGCATTGAATTTATCAATGGCGAAACCACGATTACTAAATGTCTACATGTTTACAATTTGTTTAAATATTTAAATCCGAATATTACATCGAATAGCTTAGGTAACTGCTTGATAAATAAGTGATTTCCTGCGCCAATTGTGAGATTTTTAAAAATACTACAGACTTGTTGATATAAATAGCCCATGCATGTGAAGGTCAGTGAAGGTCGATGTTCCAATTATCGTGTACATGATTGTGATTGGTTAATTGCCGGAAAGTCAAATGTATAGCGAATGTGAGCAGACGTTAGGTGAGGCCTCGGCCACTAACAACGTCTGCGCAAGAGGCTAAATCATATACAGCTATTTCAATTAAGGTTGTCAAATAGCTGTATACATGAAAACATTTCTCAATTCTGAAATACTGTGCAACAAACGAAATACAGTGCAAAAAAAAAGAAATACAGTGCAAATTTCTTATCTTTTAAAATTTTCTTAATTTTTTATTTTTCAAAGTTCTTAATTTTCCAAATTTCTTAATTTCTAAACGTGTCTTACGCACGTGACTGCATAATTTTTTCATGTATGTTACTAATAAGTTTTAGTATAAATTTCCAGGTGACTATTGATTTTTCTGCATTCTGATTGGTCAAGATTCACTGTCTCTGAAGTGATAGTCACTGGTCAGTGACTATAGCTTTTTTTTCAAAATGGCTGCTCGTTTTGCCGTAGTAA